TATAAAGTGTTATGTGTATGTAAACAAAAGTGACCTCTTTTATCACACACTATATTAGAACTGACTGGCCTACATTAAAAAGAGTTTTAAAAAATTCACATTTTTTTTAATTTTTAAAAATTACAAAAGAGAAAAAGAGTTTTTAAAACCGTCTAAGGTATGTTAAATAGATGAATAAAAATATTAATATAAAACTTACAGCTACTTGTTACAAATCCAAATCAGATTCAGAAGATGAACTTTCAGAACAAAGATTTATAATAACTGGCTCGATAATTTTATCAGTAATATTGTTCAGCTTCCACATTTTTTCCTCTTCTTTAACAGTGTGATTTACTGCCTTTTCCCAGTTTTCAGGTTTTACATTATTTACGGCCTTCAAAAACAACTGTTTAACATCATGAATTTTAAAAGTGGTATTTTTTCTTGAAACTTCACTCTTTATCTGTGCCCATACCAGTTCAATCGGGTTTAATTCACAATGATATGGTGGGGATCTAAGTACTGTCATTCCACGATTTTTGGCAATTTCATCAATTTCGTATTTTTTTAATTTTTCTTTATGAAGGGCACACAACGAATAAAGTTCCTTTCTTATAGATCCGGGATGGTACGTAATAATATTTGAACTTAGCCAATTCTGCAAGTCTTTTTTTAACCACTTGGTTGTGGGCAGTCCTTCTATAAGTCTGGAGTGATAACTTGCATTATCCATTACTATTACACAGTTCTTAGGAAGAAGATCTATCATTTGTTCGAACCATTCTTGAAAGACATCAGCGTTCATGTCTTCATGGTAGTCACCGGTACAAGTTGATTCAAAAGTGAATAAACCTCCTTCAACAAAACCGTCTGAACTGCCAATGTGTACTATTATCAGCCTGCGTCCCTTTCCTGATGGTGGGTTTAAACCAGTAGATAAGTTATTTACAAAAGCGTGCCTTTGACTTGTAACAGTTTCATCCTGCCAAAATTTATTTGGTGTATGACCCTCGTTGATCCATGTTTCATCAAGATAAAATATTTTTCTTTTTTGGTTTCTCATTTCCTTTATGGTTCTTAGAAAATGTCTTCTCCATATGACAATATCGCTTCTTTCTAATAAAATAGACTTTCTGGGATTCTTTTTCCAGCGGAAGCCTATTTCTTTTAAAAGTTTCCATAACGTACTTCGACTCATTTCTGGGTAATCCTTATCATCTCGAACTGAGACAAGAACTTTATCCAATGTTGGAAATTCTTGTCTAAAGAAGAATTCATGCACTTTCCGTCGAAGTCCTTCTGTAAAATGATATTCTATTTGAAATTTTGGTTTCCCTGGAGCATTACGTGGCATTTGAAAACTACCACATTTCTCTTCTTTAATAACTCTGTAAATCGTAGATTTCCCAACACCAAGTATACTGCTAACTAACTCAACGGTCTCATTAACACTTTCACATAAACGTTTGTCTGTAAATTATTTAAAACAATTAAATATTAATGTTTTTTCATTAACTGTTAAAGGACCAATTTTTCGGCGTTTACACGGCACTTCCAAATTTTCCATAACACTAGTATACACAATAAACTGCACCTTGCAACTGAAGTACCTACTTTTAGTGAACTGTTAAGAATTTTGAATACGCCACTTGGACCTTCCTACAAAATGGAAAAACCCACTATCACATTTTCTGTGGAATAAGTTTAGAAGGTAATTATCTAGTCAATTACTGTCGTAGATTCCTGGAATTAAAGAATTAAATGTTTGATTGTTGAAACCCTTACTTCGTGGAATGCACTCATTTCAGATAAAATAAAACGTTTTATTTTATCTAAAGAATTAAACTTTATTTTGCAAATAGGTAGGTACTTATTAAACTTTTATTGGTTATATATAACCAATAAAATAAACATCTTACATTTCTTGCAAATTCATTAGTACCTGTTAACCTCCATCACTCCGACACTGGCAACCTTATTTAGGGATTAGTAACACTCACAACTATTGTATTCTATTCTGCTCCAACCTATATACCTGGTGGTCATACTCAATTTAAAATTGTTTTCCTATATACTTCTGTAAACTTGTTGAAAAATATCTGTTTTTCATTGAGTCACCCGTATCAACAGTTTAGGGATTTACATACATAATTTATTGTTTGATTACTCTCTCATACATAAAAATACACTATAACCAAAGGACGTCACTAATTTTCGATTTATCGAAATTAATTTCAAATTCAAGAAAGTGGTTGACATTTTTTGACAAGTTGGAAAATTGTATGTGATTCGGTAAATAATTGGTCGAAATTTTGACACCTATAAAAATAGAACTGCAGTATTAGTAAAAAAATAATCAGTACTGATTATTTTTTTTAAATACTGTGGTGCAAAAATTAAAGAAATTAACTGTCCCAATATTAAAACTAAATAGGAAACCACAATTTTTAAAGATATTCAACAGGCTGTAATGGAAGATAGAAATAATAAATAATTTGGTTGTAATAATTTATTTGTTCTTTTTACAAATTATGTGTTTGAATGGCATGCTCTTGAAATTCTACTCTCTTATTTGGAGATATAAAATAATCTTTAAACTCATCACGAATATTTAGAGCGGTTATGTATTGGCGACGTGCAAGTACTTGGAGGGGATACGAGAAACGATCGTGCGCGAGTAGCGGAGAAATTTTACATTTTTTACTGTACATTTTTTACTGTACATTTCATAAATTTATATTGTCAATTGTCATATTTCATATTCGTTTTGTTTATTTACATTTACACCTTCTGTCTCTGAAGAAAATAGGATTTATAGGAAATGCTGTGTTATAAATTGTAAAAATACAACAAAAATTGTCAATTTAAGTTTTATTCGTTTCCAACTTCGAAGCACAAATCTACTACAAAGAGATAAGTGGATTTATATCATAAAAAAGCATAAGTAACATAACCTAAATTATGCATTATTCTTACGCCCGATTTTAAAGTCAGTTTGAAATAAATAATAAATAAAAGTTCACTTTTAAGTGTAAATTTTAGTTTCATAACACTCACTTAGAGTTCATTTTAACCCAAAAATCAAGTTTAATGTTGTAAAATGTAAATTTTATTTTTTTGAAGTTTACAAGAATGCATCAAGTTCAAGTTTTTCTGAAGATGCATTAAGATATATTCGCTGTCCAAAAGTTTACAGGGAAAGAATTAGTTGTTCAAACCAATATGATGATATCATGGGCTTAACCTGCTAATTTATGCATTAGCATTATTTATGGTAATTTATTTTTCTTAATTCTTCCCTTATTTTTTGACATTTGCCACTACTAAAGCTTTTCCCTTTGACTCAGTGCTTGGTTGAAAAGTTATTTGGTGATTTACTTTCTCAAATCCAGTTTTTATTATTGCATCCATATTAACAGTAATGCTGTAATTCAATAATATATTTATTTGTATTTACGCTACATCAACGTTTACCTTTTAATAACATACCGACATAACCTCAATCTTACCTTTTCTTATTCTTTTTTGGGGCCACGTCCTTGACAGTTATCCGGTTACCTCGATCTAACATAAAAGCGCAGTAAATTTTGCTGATTTACGACACCAGGTGTCGCTGTTCCGAACTTGCACGGTCCCAATATAAACCGCTTCTATAAACTAAGAATCAACCGAGAAGCCATAGAAATTGAAAAAAAAGGCCAAATTATCCCAATAAAAGAAATGACGGCATACGGTTACCTTCCACTTGGAGACCTCACATAAAGAAAATATCGTCCACTCCACCCGTCAATCAAAATCCTACTGTCAGAAATTTTCGAGCCAACCACCGCGCCAATCTCTACGCTAACCCTCACGCCACCCTCCACCCAAATCACATCACCATCGACCAGCCCAGTAATGCATTGGTTAGTGGCTCGGGAGACTGAGAACTCGGAAGCCCTGAAGAAGACATCGAAGAGGATGCCGAAATACACTTATTTTTAAGACTACTACAACACATTAAAATACATAAGAAAACATTTTAATACAAAATTATATATTTTAAATTTTAAACTTACCTCTTTTAGGGCTTTAATAGTAAAAACGTCCCACCATTATTTCTTGTTCAAAATAATCTATCTTATATGAAAGCTTATCAGCTTTCTACAGACTATTTATTTGTTTTGGCATATCACAATCACAATACACAACAATAATTAGTTTTTGAAGCTATTAATCTAAATTTAATATGTATTTATAAATACAATTTATTATTATATTATATTATGATCACAGTGTGTAAGAATTCAAAACATAAACAAAATTCCTATTCTAAAAAAGCGGCAACACTTAATACACTTTTGCCACACGCTTAACTGTCAATAAAATTTGAAGTATTTCCGTATTAGTTGCATACAATTGTTTACTATATTTAATTAAAATTATTAGTTTGTGGAATATTAGACTTGAAGAGTTATTTCATAAAATTTATATTATTAATAATAATAAATGTTTTTGGTTATTTAATCAATATAATTCTAAAATTTCCAATATAATGATGATTACATTTTTCTGATTATTACACCATGTTAACGCCTATGAAAAATCGAGCAGTTCCGTATGGGTTTCGTATTATTAGCTGTGTTAGGAAAATTTGAACTCTAAGGTTGATGTTCTGGATATTTTAAGTACAAATGATGTGACTTTGTCTAAATCGTGACGTGAAAGTGTTTTACTTTGAAAAAGGATATACTCTTCTAATTCCTGTAAAAGTATTAATCTTAGCTCTATTAGGTTTAGTTATTGTACTAACCGCGGAAATCTATTATATATAATAGAATAAACTGTAAAAGAATGATTATATTGAATATTTTGAACAAAAAAACTTGCAAAAATACTGTAACAAACTATAATCTAATTTTAGTCTAAATAATCGGTGCTTCCAAATTCAACCAATGAAAGAAAACAACTTTGTATAAGACTAAATAATGTTATTAACTAGTGTTAAAATCATAAAAAAATAAAAAAGTTTTACTTACCAAAAATTTCATTTAATGGTCTTAAATTAGGTAATGAACCAGCAAAATTCGCTGTGAGTTTCTCCACGCCCCGTTTGGGTTTTTCGGGTATGTGTTTATTACAAAATAAATCTACCAATTCTTGCTTCTCTGCAACATTAAATGAACCTATATTAGTTTCTGAAATCACTAATTTTATATGGAGTTTATACTAAAAAATTTTATTAAAACTTTTATTTTATTATTAAACCTTTAAAAAGTTTATTTAGAACACTTGCTAATACAGTAACTAGTGATATGTACATAACAATTGTTTCAATTTTCCTTTTCTTGATTTCAGGATTGCTTTTCTCTTCATACGCGTGCTCCCTTCATGCCTAGATCATTACTTCAACTAGTAATTCTAGTAATTCTACGAAGTATCATTTCTGTTGTTTCCAGTAATCGTTGTTTTTTTTATATTTCTGTAGTATGTGTTATTATAGATCTTATACATACCTTGTATGTTTGGTACCTGTGATTATGCTTTTGTTGTGCCTTATTGTATCATTTATCCAACCTATCATTTTTGCTGCTCTTTGAAGTCATTTTTTTTTTCTTGTACTTTCGCCCTGAGATTGCTATATCTACATATACAATATTTGTTTTTATTATAAACAGGTACTAACATATTTATTATCATCACAATTTAATCATCATTTTTGTTGTCAATGTTCATTCTTCCTAAATCAGGTCATTTTATCTCACTCATTTCGAGGACATCAATATCTAACCTCTTCATTTTTTTGATAATGTTGTGAGATTTGCCCGTCTCGAACATGCTTCTAATATTCCAGGAGCCAATGTTTATTTTTAGGTTTTACCACTTTCAGGTGGGTCCTAGCACTCTTCTCGGAGATTCTTGGCACCTCTTGGCATCATCTAAGGTCTGAGGCCTGCGCACTGGGAACCAAGTGTATGATTGTATTTTGCATAGTCATTCTCCCACTTTAATTACTTTTAATTTACACATTTTAAGTTTTTTTTTATTATTTCTTGCTTGGTGATAATTAAAAACAGAACTGACTGCAATACTCCTCCATGAAAAAACCAATTGCTTTTGGATCAGTTTTAGTATTTGCGTGTGTTCTACCAAACTCCGCCTGGGATACCGTGGGAAATCACAGTGTCACAGCCGGTCCTAAGCCCGAATAAAGGAGGAAGGTTGGGCAATGGGCTAGTCACCCATTACTGTAGAACAAACCCCGACTACGAAACCTATACAAAAGCCTCAGATAGGACGGTCTTATCGACGACGACTCAAGCAAAGAAATATGGACTACTCATTTGGAACATGGAACGTCTTAACCCTACATAAACCAGGAGCCCAAACATCGCTGCTTAACGAACTTAAAAAATATAAGATACAATTAGCCGCAATACACGAAACAAAATGGCTAGGCAATGGAATAAAAGACACAAAAACGCACACAATACTCTATAGCGGCAAAGAAAATGGAAAGAAAGAATTTGGAGTGACTTTCGTAGTAGATAAGAACATCAAAAACAATATCTTAGATTTCGAAGCAATAAATGAGAGATTATGTAGATTGAGGCTAAAAACAAAATTTTTTAACCTCACGAGGAAAAAGAGGAGTTCTACGATCAATTAGAAGTAATATACGACAATGCCCCAAAAAATGACATCAAGATAATATTGGGTGACATGAACGCCCAAATAGGCAAAGAAGAACAGTTCGCAGGAATAATCGGCAAACACTCACTCCATCAAAACACCAACGAGAACGGGGAATTCCTAATTAATTTTGCCAGCAGGAAAAACATGATCGTGAGCTCTACGTTCTTTGCTCATCGGGATGTACACAAAGCAACGTGGATCATGCCAGGTGGAGCGGTTACTAACCAAATTGACCATGTCTTAATAGACAAAAGAGCTGCCACCAACATCCTAGATGTAAAAAGTCGAAGAGGAGCATGCTGTGGATCTGATCACTTGCTGGTACAAGCAAAATATAGATGAAGCAACGCAAATATAGAAGAACCAACGCAAATAAAATCAGTTTGGAAAAGCCATTTCCAAGCTCTGCTAGGAGCACAAGGAAGCTCACGATCTTCGGATACGCGGCACATCGAGGAAGGAGACGAAGAAATAAGCAGCCCGACTCTTAAAGAAGTCAAACAAGCAAAACAGGCGCAAAGAAACAACAAAGCGCCGGGATTTGACGATGTCCCTTCCGAACTGTATAAATTAGGTGGCGAACATCTAACAACGCAGGTGCACGCGCTCATATCTAAGGTATGGAGGGAAGAAAAAATTCCTAGCGATTGGAAAAATGGGATTATCTGCCCAATCTACAAAAAAGAGGACAAACTTAAATGCGAAAATTACCGCGGCATAACCCTCCTATGTTCGGCCTACAAAATTTTTACATCCATCCTGAATAGGCGACTTCAACCATTATGTGAAAATATTATCGGCGAATACCAGACCGGTTTTCGACAAGGCAGGTCGACAATAGATCAGCTTTTTACAGTAAAGCAAATCCTTAATAAAGCTTGGGAACACGATATTGATGTTCACAATATATTTATCGACTTCAAACAGGCTTATGACTCCATAAATAGAAGCCGGTTATATAACATCATGGAAAGCTTCAATATTCCCTCGAAATATATCCGACTAGTAAAAGCAACGATGGACTCCACAATAGCAACTGTACGCATACAGTACGAATTAACTGACAGCTTCGAAATAGTTCAAGGGCTGAAACAAGGTGATGGACTAGCTCCAACACTGTTCAATCTGGCCCTTGAATATGTCATCAGAAAGCTGAATGTCGGAAGAGCCAATCTTCTAACAAACAAATCTGTCCAGCTCGCCGCATATGCGGATGACATTAACCTCATGTCCCGCAGAGTGGATGATGCAGCAGAAACATATTCGCAGCTGAAAACGGCCAAGGAGATTGGACTTGAAATAAATACACAGAAGACAAAAATACTAACACAGACGCGGACAAAGCGAACAAGAAATCAAATCAAAGTAGAGAATGACATTGAAACAGTGAAGAGTTTTACTTATCTGGGAGTCGAAATGAATACGGAGGGAACAGAAGAGGCCGAAATTCAGAAGAGAATAATGAAGGGAAATAAAGCCTATTTCTCCCTGATTAACATATTCCGCTGCAAGACGGTACATCGAAAATCGAAACTTAAGGTCTATAAAACTATCATCAGACCGATAGTATGCTATGGATGCGAGACATGGGTTTTGACAGAAAGCACTAAACGAAGATTAGAGGTTTTCGAGAGAAAAATCCTAAGGAAGATCTTTGGACCCATCACTCAAAATGGGATGTGGAGATCTAGATATAACCATGAACTCTACCAACTGTTCAAAGAAGCACCTATTGCAGAGTTCGCTAGAGTACAAAGGCTTCGATGGGCTGGTCATGTGGTACGGACGGATGCCGACAGATTGCCGAGAAAGGCCTTGGATGGTAAAATGCAGGGCAGAAGACCAAAGGGAAGACCACGTAATAGATGGGAGAGCGAAGTCACAGCAGATGCGCACAACTTACTGAACGTCAGGGCTTGGAGACGAGTGGCGCGGGATCGCCTTTGTTGGAGGCAGAAGTTGCAGGAGGCCAAGGCCCAATTTGAGCTGTAGCGCCATTGGAAGAAGAAGAAGAAGAAGTGTGTTCTACCAATATATAGTAACTGGTATGTCTATAAGTAAGTAAAGGTGGTAAGGTAAGTTGGTAGTTTGGTAACTTGGTTGCCAAAAATCTTTGTTGAGTCAATATTTCATAAATCTTTACACTAGTTTGGATCCAGGTCGTTGAAAAGTTTTGTTAATTACACAAGAGAGCTCAAATCTAGAGAATACCTTAGATTAAGATACCTTATCTTCTTAGTTGCTTTAGAATTACAAGTACCTTGCAGTCAAAATGGATATTTACGCCCTATTCTTCGTTTAACTTTCACTTTTTTCTCTTTATTCTATTTTCTTCCCTTTATAGTGTTTGGCATTTATCTTTCAGTGTCACCACTTTAAGAAAACTGCGTTGGAGATGTACTTTCAATGTCAAAATCACAAAATACGATGGTCTACACATACTTTACAAAACTGATTTCATTGTAATAAATGGCTTATGTGATATATCTGTCTCTCAACTATTTCGTTTTTGTAATATTAATTTTGAGCGATATCCTTCATTTACCAGATTGTTTGATGTTTAGAAATCTTCTCGACTTTAATTTAGATATGGTTATCATCTAATAGCTACGATCTTCTCGCAATGAGTCTACCAAAGTTTGATGAAACTTTATACCGAAATACTTTCTCTAATTCAAAGCATAAAGTTGTTGTCATCATATGCGCAGCCACTTTATGTGATTTTAATTTTGTCCGAAAATGTACTTCAACAGCTAAACATACAGAATATTCTCCTTTTGGCACTGACAATAATTTTGTGGTGATTCTTAAGACATTGTAACGTTATAAACGTCTCATGTTTGTTATGTTTCTTTAAATATTTATTTTATTTCAATTTCTTTCGATTTTATTCATTTATTAACTTGTCTCTTTCATTTTACTATTTATTTATTCCAAAAATAGTTGACGCTCAACCCTACGATCAACTTTCTATTTACTAAATATTCTGTTATAATCTAAACTCAAACTTCATATTTTCACTAAATATTCTAATTTCTTTATTCATACCCTGTTATGTTCTATGAGATAGAACGTATATAAATTTCTATGTCTCACTTCAATAGACAAAGCATATCTGTCAGTAGAAAACTCTGCTCTCTCACGTCACATTTATATCGTTAAATCTTTCTCTGAGTTACGTTATATTTAATATTTAATCAACACCCAGTGTCTTTTTATAATTCCTCTTTTTGTACATATCTAACCTCCAACCCATATGCTTCTTTTCATACCATGTGCAGTTAGTATCTTCTTCTTCATATTGCGTCGTCTTCTTTCGAAGGTTGGCGATCTAAATGGCTATTGTAGTTTTTCAAAGTGCTCCACGAAAGATTTCTTTGGATCAGCGGTCAAACCAGTGGAATTCTGGCGCCTTCCAACTAATCTTTTGCCCTGAACTTTACCTTCCAATATGATTTGGAGTAATTCATATCTTTTACCTCTCAACACATGACCCAAGTATTGAATTTTAATATCTTTGATTATGCTAAGTAATTCTTTTTGTTAGCAGTTAGTATCTTTAATATGATTTAAATAATAATTGTATCCTTGCCAATCTGCTATTTGCTATTTAATAGTGTAATGATTTTATTTCACACGGAAATATTTTAAAACATATGCAGTTGCTAACACAACGTTCATTATACTAGTTTTTATGGCCTAATTCCATTTTTGTCCACCTTTTTGGGTGAAGACTTCCCGAACCACATGGTCGACCATTGGGAGTAAAATACTGCAGTAGGCCGCTACTATGGGAATTGAAGATATCCCTGGATTTTAATACCATTATCAACAACTGGAACTAGCAATTAACACCTACATTCTGCAATCCTGTCTAACTACTTCTATCCTGTCTTCTCTAAGACAACATTAGAAGCCACAAGTATCATTTAAAAATATGTTTTGTAAAGCTGTAGGGTTTCTTTAACCTAAGAGCTGTAGGCAAGATTAGCTTTGATTTTAACACGTTCGCTGCCGACTATATTTTGTAAATCTATGCCTCCGTGAGCCAGTCATTCTTTTTTTTAAGTGCTCCTATGAGCCACCATATAACAAATGTGTTGGTCCCATCGGGACAACGCGGCCCAGTGAACCGTACTAATGTTTCTGTGCGCCGTTGGTCCGTCGCAGTAAACATAACCTAACATAAATAAATGAATTTGCATTGCCTGTTGTTCTTGTTGATTGTTTTTCATTTCAATAAATTGAAAGAATAAATTGCTGTAAGTATTAAATAATGTTTAAATTACAATATTTTTACAACATATTGTGTAATTTTAGATGTCTCGACGAACTAAACCTCTGACAGAGCGTGAATTGCAAAACATTGCAATCAATTTTGGAGAACTCTCCGATGACGATGATGAACCATTCGAAGCTTTTGATAGTGAGTACCTGTGTAGTTCAGAAGAAGAATCAGATTCGTCAGATTCAGAAGAAACGGTGGAAAATGTACGAAAGTTTTTACAGAGAAAAAAAATAAAATTAGATTCACAACCTACTCGTCATGTTCACGATAATATCAATCCAGGACCGAACTTGAATTCAATGCATGATCCAGAACAACCTAATCATAATCTTCAAGGTAATATCGTTCCAGGACCGAACTTAAATTCAATACTCGATCCAGAACCGAACTGAGATCCACACCGTAGAGAAGATCCAGTACCGAATATAGAACCAAATTGGGGTCCAGTAGTAGGTAATTATAAGCTAATAGCACCTTTTTCTATTCCGTCAGGAGTAAATGATGAAGTAGCTACAATGTTGGCAAATGGTACGCCTGGAGACTTTTTTGATGCTGTGGTCGATGACAGAGTAATTAGTCTGATTTGTAACCAAACAAACATATATGCAACTCAGTCTGTACTGACTGCAGACGCAACACCAAGCTCCCGCTTACATGACTGGATTCCAACGACAAATATTGAAATTAGAAAATTTTTAGGACTGGTTGCCTGGATGGGTTTAGTGAAAATGCCAAAAATCGCAGACTATTGGAGTAACTATAACCTATTCTACAATAATTTTGCAAAGAATCATCAACTAGCCTCTAACGTCCACTGCTGAACATAGGCCTCTCGCATGCTCTTCCACTTTTGCCCCATCTGAATCCAATTTGTACTCACTCTTTTTATGTCATCTGTCCATCTCGTTGGGGGTCGACCTCTATTTCTGTATGCTTGTATTCGGGGTCTCCATTCCAAAATTCTTTTTGTCCACCGGTCATCAACTGATCTTGCTACATGACCTGCCCAGTTCCACTTTAGTGTTGTTATCCTTTCAATAACGTCTGCTACTCCTGATCTTTTGCGTATAGTAGCATTGGGTATTCTATCACGTAGAGAAATCCCTAACATAATTCTCTCCATTGCTCTTTCCGCAACTTGTAGTTTACTCACTGTTGTTCTTGTGAGCGTTAGGGTTTCTGCGCCGTAGGTCATCACTGGCAAAATACATTGATTAAATACTTTTCTTTTCAGACACATTGGAATCTTAGACCTAAAAATATCCTTCATCCTTCCAAATGCATGCAAAGAATGTAATGTCTAGAAATCGATTCGAGATGCTGTTAAGGATGTTTCACTTTAATGATAATTTATTGGCAGATACAAGTGATAAACTGTATAAGTTAAAGCCACTTGTCGACATTCTGACTGCAAATTTTAAGTCTTTATACGTGCCGGAAAAATATGTCTGCATCGATGAAACCCTATTACCCTTTAGTGGACGCTTGGGGTTTAAACAGTACATTAAGACAAAAAAACACAAATATGGTGTAAAAATTTTTAAAGTATGTTCTGGATCTGGATATACTTACAATTTCAAAGTATATGCAGGGAAAGAAAATAGTTCTAACGTCACTCCAGAAAGCGTTGTTCTGTATATTATGGAGGATTTAGTACATCAAGGAAGAACTCTGATAACCGACAATTGGTATACAAGTTTACCGCTAGCAAAAAAAATGTTGTCCGTCGATACACACCTGATAGGAACTGTTCGAAAAAATCGAAAATATTTACCCCAAGAAGTAGTAGCTACAAAATTAAATAAAGGGCAGATTGCTTCTATGGAAAGTGATGATAGAGTGACCATTACGAACTGGAAAGACAAAAGAAATATTTACATGCTTTCTACTAAACACGGCAATGAAATGGTCGAAGTATCTTGTAATCGACAAACTAAACTGAAACCCAAGGTGGTAATAGATTACAATAAAGGCAAAGCGGCAGTAGACTTATCTGACCAAATGGGAGCGTATTCCAAACCCCTAAGGAAAAGCGTAAAATGGTTTAAAAAAGTGGGTTTGAATTATTATTAACTACATCAGTTATAAATTCTTTTAATATATAAGCTTGTAACAAATAACAACATGTCGGTGACAGATTTTAAAAAACAAATAGTGAAACATCTAGTTACTTATAAAGAAACCACTACTGTACCACGAAGTGTGTCAAATAATCACCATCAACTTGAACAGAAGGCAGACGGAAGTAAACATCAACGAAAGAAGATTTGCAAGAACTGCTACAAAAGAAATAGTGAGCAACACGGCCGTCAGTATGCTATGAACAAAACTAAAAAGGTAGACACCTTTTGCAAAAGCTGTGACAAGGAACCTTTTCTGTGTATAGGTTGTTTTAATGAATTACATAGAATTTACATAACTTTTTTTATTGGTTGTTTTACATTATTTAATTTTTCTGTTGTTGAAAAACATGTTTGTATCAATAAATATCATCCCAAAGTTGTAAATAACGTTTTTGAATTATATGGGACCACATTTGTCATACTCCATAAATCGCACAAATTCTCTATACAGCACATAGCTTGTAGGCCTCGTTGGTCCATTCCCATGGTGATTTAATACTAAATAAACACCAATGGCTCGGTACATATCAGAATAAATGTTGGTCCCATAGGACCAACATGGCCTGTTAATGCAATACTTGCGTTGGTCCCATTGGACCAACGTGGCCTATTGAAGCAACATCAGTGATGGTCCCATCGGACCAACACGGCAGCGAACGTGTTAATATATAATAAAATTTTAATTTTATATTTTTTATGTATAATAAATATGTTTAGTTAATATCTTGGTTTATTTGTACTAGGCAAACACATTTTTCAGATTTATTTCTAAGATGATATAGCCTGATCTTTCTAAGACGACGCTTTAACACCTGAGAGATTGAGCTAGACGAGGCCTAACAATTGTTTCAAAGAAAGTTGTGAATTTTGTTGTTCTACATTGGCTCCCAACGTTCGGAGGTTCCCATTGGCACCCACTGTTTCTGATAAGTCGTTCAATGGTTACAACATTATATGTCACATTTACACAAAGACACAGGAAAACATTTAGGTAGTTCATAACCCAATTTTACTATTTCACCATATTTTAATATAAAAATAATAAAAAAACTTACCGACTAAACCGTATGTAGATATATTTCTCTTATTTAAATAGTCTTGCAGATCCTTCGATTTCAGCTCCATCAACTTCGACCTGTCAGGTGGGCGTTTCAACAAAATTAGACATTTTTCGCAATACAATACCCTTCAAATAAAATATATGTTAATTATATGAAACTACAATCATAGTATTTAATTTTTTCTGTTCGATATGTAAGTGTCTACAGCTAGTTTCAAATGCAGTGGCAGCAATTCCACGAAATATTTTATCGCGTGACAATTAGAAATCCTATGCAGTGGCGTTGCACTATTAAAACATTTGGTAAGAATATTTTTTATTTGAAACCGCAAAATATTGTATTATTTACTTAAACAATAAATGAAATTTGTTATTATCTTTGTTATTATTATTATCTTTTGTATATCCCTAATTATACTATGAAATCATTCAAAAAATTACATTTTTGAAATTTTATTTGAAAAAATTGACTGAAGTCTCATAGCTCAAATTTTTTTCGTTTAAAGAATGTATGTATGTCTTTTCCAGAAAAAAATTACAAACCATTATCAGTTTGCCTTATGTTGTTAAAAAAAATGCTGAAAACGGGATTTTATCAGTTGGCCTTTTCAAACTTTGAGGTTAATTTAAGGCATTAAGGGTAGTTTGTAATTAAATAATGCTATTGACCATTTTTTTAGAGCATACTTTTCCAAACAGTTTGGTTTTTGATTTATTGTTTCAGGACAAACCTAAGTCAAAACATTGGCTAAAGAGTGAAGCCATGTTTTCCGTGAAAATGACCGACACGATGAAACAAAAATGTCCGCCATCGGCAAAATAAATTTTTTTAACATAAAATTAATGCAATTTTGTACTGTCTATAGACTGAAGTATAAACGGTAGAAAAAAAAATATTAAAAATAGTCAACCATCCACCTTTGGACCACTTGGCAAGGATTGACCCATCAGGGTCAACGGTAGTCATAGGAGCCAGGGTATTATAATTCATACTATTTAATTTATGTATCTTATACTCTTTCTATAATAATTATATTCGCTGCTTTAATTTATTCAGTTGTTTTTTTTTTGTCGTGTTGATTACTTAGTATCTGTAGGATAAAATTTTCATTACGAACCACAGAAATGTCATTTCATATCCTGTTTGTTAATTATATACACTTAGTCCCATTTTTTGTAATAAATATGTAACTGACGTAAAAAGGATTTGCAATAAATGGGTCAACGCGTCAGCTATGTAATATATCACACCTTCAAATATTATTTTAGATAAGGATACCAACTAATAAATATGGTACACAACATGTTTGTCGTAATTATAACCGTATAATGAGTAGCCTATGGGTGTATTGTTAGGTAAAAATATTATTGCATCATAAATTATTTGCTTGTCCCGGCAGCAGCTTAATTTGATTTTTTAATAGACAATAATATTCAATTTTAAAGTAGACATTGAACTTTTCTTGAAATGTTTTTTAAATGGTATCAAGATTTATTACAGTCAATCTAAAATGCTTAAAAAATAATATTATTTAATATTTTTAACATTTCTTTAATCTTACTACATTTATATTAATTGAGGCCATCCCCGGAAAAAGGGCCCCTAAGCCTATGGGCCGTTTTTCCGCAGATCATTTAAATCAATCCGTCATGATGTAAAGTTCATTTCGGCCAAGTTTGGCAACAATGTCTCAAACCTGTGTCATTCGATAAACAAAACATTTAACTGGACGGTGTTTTGCAACAACTGGCTAACCCACATTTGTTTACAAATGAGGTTAGACGTATCAAACTGTCGATCATAATGCATACTACATCAAGCAAAAATGATAAGCCATATCCATACTTATGGAGGCGTTTTTGAACTAAGTTCTAAACCACATTCGTCAAATAATATGAAAACAGAAATTTGTAAAAATAGTCTAACCCATGTTTTCATTATAAATATGTGGGTTAGACGCTTGTTGTCTTTTCATTGTGTGTATCAGATGCAAAATATTAAATTGAACAAATCTTTAATTGACTTATTAAAAGACGAGAAATTTATTATTACACTAATATTAAATAAATAAAATTGTATCAAACTAGAGGCTTTATCTTTAATTCTAAAATACGAAAGTATATTATTTAAAACTGTGAATTTTCTGTGTAGTCAACTCGGCAATTATTGATTCAAGAAATTTTTAAATTCCTTTTATCGCAGATAGTGTACCGAAAAGGTAACAATGTTTTGCGATTACTCGAATGTTGGTGCCATAAATGCCAACAAAAAATTGCATTATCAAATAACGAAACCAGTTGTTCATTTTATAAAATATTGGAACTGTTGCTTGATAGTCAAAATTCTGGTCAGCAAAATATTGTAGGAATATGATACGAATATTATAGGTATGATTTGGAAGGAATTGGGTTAAATCCTGATTTCGAGATTGATCAAGATTAAATCGAGTTGGAATTTAATCAGTAACAGTTGCTTACTATTACTAATGAACTCGAATTAGAAGTTTTTTTTGTGTACTTACCATTTCGGAGGGATAGACGGTTATTGCAAAATGACCATTTATATTTTTACAATTTTGCAAAAACCGTCTACACCGCTTTAAGTTATTTTTGCAATAAACTGGTTTTACTTATTTTGCTTTTGTACGTTTTTTTAAGTAGCCTGTAATTATTGAAATATAAAAATGTGAAAATAAAGTTTTATTTTCTATCAGTGAATTTTTAAAGTAGGTAGACACAATATGCTCATTTACTCTGAACCATATATATGTGGCTTAGATTATTATTGCAGAACGCCATCCAACTACCATTTTAACAAAGTTGTGTTCGCGTCCGTTGTTCGTTTGCTTGTCGTTAACGTAAGTGTGTTTATTGAGCTTTAACAATGGATTCTGACGAAGAGGTAGTTAGACAAAAACTGACATTTCAATTAATCATAAAATGTTGCTTGGACAAATGTTTTACCCGTTTAAGTGTCGATGATCAAAAACATTTATTTCAACACGTTTATTTACAAGAAAAGCCTCAACAGGACTCTTTGTTGGCTCAGTGTATGAAAAAACTTAATGTGGACCGTAAACGACTCAAGAATAATCCAAAAGTTTTACGAGCGTATACATGGGAATATTTCGTGTCTCAAAAGAGTGACAGAATAAAAACATGTCGGACCACGATCCAAAAACTTTTTGTATCTGTGAAGCGCATTCGTGTAGTACAAAAGAAGGTAATTGTGGGTGAGTCATTTACAGAAAAGCGAGGGACAAATGCCAACAGATCCCACAAATTGGCTCCCAACATTCATAACTTGCTTAAAGCGCATTTGGAAACTATTCCGTTTAAGAAAAGTCATTATTCCCAACACAAATCCGAACTAAAATATTTTGAGAATTCTGAATTAAATATTAAAAAGCTGTATGAGCTTTTTGTACAATACTATAAAGAGAAGACATGCACAAATCAAAGGATGAAATACAAGACATACTTTCAGTATTTTAAGTCACTGCGTTCATACAGTTTCAACAATCCCAAAACAGACTTATGTGACTTCTGCACAGAATGTAAACAAAAACTATCTATTAATCCTAACGATGCCTGTGCAATTTCCTATCGCCTTCACAATGTGAAAGTAAAGCGACATAGAGCAATGAGGAGGAATCTGATAGAAAGAAGTAGAACTGACAGTAGTTGCCTTGTTATTGGATTGGATTATGGACAAAATCTACCATTTCCGAAACTCAATGTAACAGTGCAGTTTTATAAACGTCTACTTTGGTGTTATCTCTTTGATATACATATGCACAATGATGGGCCGTCTTTTATGGATAAATTTATGGAAGGACAAGGCAAAAAGGTGCCGATTCTGTTATTTCATTCGTCTATGACTGCTTGTGCAAAAAAATTAATGGCGATGTCACTGAAATCGTATTTTTGTCGAATGCGTGCGAAGACAAAATAAGAACATTTCAATGGTAAAATTTGGAATGTGGCTAGAACACAAGTTTAACGTCAATATTCGACATATATTTCCGGTTTGTAGCCATTCCTTTAACCAGTGCGATCGCAATTTTGGGCTGGTAAAGTCATCTTTAAAAAAGAAGGAGTGCATAGGGACGGCAAAGCCATATTTGGAAGCAATAGTGCATTGTCGGAAAAATCCATCTCCTTTTAATGTTGTTATGGACAGAACGCTAATCAAAAATTGGACTGAAAGTTTGGAAGGACTCTTTCTAAATAAGCCAAAAACAACGGGACTTGTTTTCAGCATTCAACAGTATGTACAAATGAAATACAAGAAAGACAGAATATTGGCTTGTTCTCAAACATACATGGAAAATTACATACCATTCACAATTTGGAAAGGAAGAATCATAAACACAAACACTGCTCTTCAAACTATCCCAGTGGTTAGAATAAAGCCGGTGAAGGAAAAAGACGTGAGAGATCTATTTTCGTTTTTGTCCCAAGAAGATGAACAATGATATGCTGGATACTAGAAGAAGTTTCTGTATAACTTTCTTTGTATAATAATAACTTGTTTTGATTAATTTTTTACGACATTTGCCAAATAAAGATTTTCTTAAACTTATTTCATACTTTCGCAAATGATCTGTGGAAAAAGGGTCCATGACAAGCTAATGTAAAAAAATATATTTACATAAAAATGTGTCTATATCTTAATCTTGATCAAAAAATATTTTTAATGGAGAAATATTTAATATAGATCTTGTTGAATCATATTAGTAAAAAATATGTAGTGAATTTTACAATTTACTATCATATTTTGAATAAATAAATAATTTTACAGTGATCAATTACACCCTATTTTACGGTATGCATAGATATGGTCCTTCTCAGGGCACTTTTTCGGTAGAAAATTTTATTGTGTTTTAGGCATGTCTAGACTAATTATTGCCTGCAATTTGAGACAAAGAGTATCCGCCGTTAAGACAGGTAAAATGCGGTCACGTGGTAAATATTGGAAAATCCTTGTTTTCAGTGCTTTATTCATAAATTAAAAATTGCTATCAACTATTGGTTGACTTTTGTTAACAATTACAAAAAATGGTAATTCAGAAAGTGTATAGTCACTATGGAATCAGACAATTTACTTAAACAATTCATGAATACCTAAACAGCTGGTAAAAATTTGCTAGTATAGTACTAAATTTTACACACATCCATTTCCATTTAATCTATGTATAATCTCAATTGCTAAAAAGTATTTGTTTTTTACAAACTATACTTAAAATTAATTGTTTTTGTTTACAAAATGTGGTTTTATCATACATAAAACATTATACCATTGGCACCCTATCAGCAAACAAAATTAAACATCTTATTACAATTTCTTATCTATAACAGATTAAAAAGGTATTTCCTTTTGACTTGGCCAGTGATAAAAAATAAAAAGTGTATATTTAAGAAAATAGTATTTAAATTTTCGTTTGACTGGAAATGAAAATTTAAATATTGAAAAAATTTAAAAGTAAAGTCTAAAGTATTAATAAAAAACTAAAAAATCAATCAATAGGAAATTTAGAAGACTAGGGACTCCAAAACATAGATGTACAAACAAAAGGGGCCCGCAAATATATAGTCAAATAGAGTATATAAACTTGAACTGATTGAAGTCTTGAATAAGGGACAAAAACATTTAAAGACGACCTTATCAAGGAAAAGGAGTACGAAAAAGAATATCAAATTACGATCATGCAGGAATATTAAATCATACATTAAAATACTGATAAAAATGACCACCCAAAAAACCTGGAAGAAATCACCAGACAGGCTCTTACAGTAACTATGATAGATCATGCTATTGTAGACTCAAGACACCAATAGAATATAATTCATATCCACACAAGAAGAGGGGCAAATGAGGATTCTGATCACTATTGGGTCATAGCCATATGCTAAATAAAAAATAAATTCTCTGCTACTGACACGCTTCTTGGTAAAACTTATACAAACAGCTATTACTCATTTCATTATTTTTTTTGTTGGAATATAGTTCAATAGAACTTTTCCGAACAGCAGTAGATAGAGTAAAGATAGTGATGATGATATCAGGGCAGGGAACGCATAAAATGAACACCACAATTGTTATATCAAGCATGTTAAAGAACAGTTTAAGAAGCGGTTAACAATATTAGAACTAGAAGCTATAAAAATCATGTGCAACACAAGTATATGGATTGTACTGAGTATATAAAATTGACATTTATTTTACTATCTATCTATCTAATCAACCTTTTCATTTTAAGTGTTGTCAATCAAAAACAAATAGATTTGATCTTCATCTAGTGCATAGTTTGAAATCGAAAGTCTACCCAAGTTAATGTTTTCCCCCTTGTGTTTTAGATTAATTTATCTGTAAAGTATAACGATCCTGTTCTCTATGATAATTTTGTCATAACAACTAATTTTCATTTAATGTAGCTACTTGGGTTGACGAATATGTATTTCTTTCATTATTTTATTGCGAATCCAAATACGATTTTGTTAGTCTGCTAATTTGATATTTGGCCTCTTATCTGATATTACTAATTTTGTTTTTACATTTTTTTAGTATCTTTTATAGAGATGATGTAAAGGCTATAGGTATTGGTGATGTTCCTTGTAAATCCTGTCCCTGCATATATAATGAATCATTGTGTGAAGGACTTTGCTATTAAATCCTATTTTCGCATCACCTATTGATCACAGAATGTGTTACACCCATGAATTTGGGATGTAAGGGTTTCTACATTGTGAAATGATGTGCACCCTATAGTCCAATGGTTGGCTGGATGAGCCATACAGCTTGTAGTCAACATTTCAAGATATGAGCAGGAACATGAAGTGTATTAATACTCATATGCTTATAAAACACACCTAGTGGATCATTTACTCTTTTTCAACTCATCTTGAGTGAAATGTAGAGAGAGTAAATTTTGCATAAATTTTTTAAACATAATTGAGTGAAATGTCTTTAATCTTTCCTAGCCTAATCAGCCTCCCACAAATAACCCTTGTTTCTTCTGACTCCAAATGGCTATTAAGTTTTCAACACTGTGAACAACATTAAATATGCCAACAATAATTGCTAACTCAAGTGATAGCTCTCAAAATGTAATGAATAAAATAAGCCAGACCTGTGATCAGTATGGAATAGTACTTATATGTTAAGAAATCTAAATATATGATAGCTGGCAAATAAAATTACATTAAGGATGAAAGTGTTTAAAGATCCAGTACTGGACAGACTGGATAAACTGGTGTATCTCAACAATAATATTAATGAGAACTGGGATCAAATCATACAAATTAAAATTTTAAATAAAACGAGCTAGATCAGTGTTTGTAAAAATGAGGGCCCTCTACAGTCACAATTACAAGATATAAAATATATTCAAACCAAATTGAGATCACTTTTGACTAATACATAGAAATGTAATGTGTATTTTACTTATATAATATAACTTTAAAGAATTAAGAAGAGTTGTAAAGAAAATCATCAAAGAAGCACAAAAATTCGGATTGGAACTAAATGAAGACAAAACCAAATATATGATCATGGGGGGAACAGAAGGGAAAAAGAAGACTTTATTGTGAGGTCTGTAAGTGGTAAAAGCTATAGTTTTAAAAGGGTGGACAATTTTGAATACCTGGGAGTAGTTTTCGATGAAAATGGAAAAGAGGAATGGGAGCTGAAAGCCAGAATAGCAAAAGGGAATAAAAAATTAGGTAGTTTAAGAGGCCTACTGAACTCAAAATACGTTTCTAGACAAGGTAAACTCAGAATATATAAAACAGTAATTCTACCCACAGTAACATACGCAGGTGAGACATGGATATTAAATAAGAAGGACTCTGGAAAGATGGGAAAGAAAAATACTGAGACACATATTCGGAGGACGGAATACAGAAGATGGTTGGGAGAGAAGAACCAACAATGAATTAATGGCTTTATACAAAGAACTTAACATTACCAAGTTCGTCAAGTCACAAAGAATCACATGGTTGGGACATGTGAAAAGAATGGAAGCAAACATAACGCCCAAACTAGTAATAACCAGAAAACTAATTGGCCCCAAAAGAAGATGTAGACCCAGAACGAGGTGGATTAATAAAGTGGAGGAAGACCTTAAACACGTGAAGGTGAGAGACTGGAAAAGAAAAGCACAAAATAGAAGCGAATGGAGAAATATTGTCCACTAGGTCCTTCAGAGTAGTTAAGAATGTTGTATATACATATTTAAGTTCAAGTTTTGTTTAAAATAGTTGTAATTAGTTAATATTAGGATTATGTTTACAAAAATTGCCTAGGCCTTAACAGCCTGTTGTGCGTAAAAATAAATATATAATTTAACAGACATCCAGGACAAGAATTTTTAAGGACACATTAAAGCTTAACAAGCATAAAACTAATATGCAGACTGATTTCCTGTATATATAAAATAAAAGAACTGAGTGACATGAATAATTGATGGGAGTGCCATTTACACAATAGTTTTTTAAGCTGTTTACTTTAAAAAGAAATAGGGCTAAGTACACTATATTCAAAAACTGCTATAGAACCACTAAAATTTATCTCCTTTCTAGGATACATTGTTGTGGAGTGTTTACTGTACAAATAATTACAAGGTTATGTTATATGTTTTATACTCTTGTTACTTACCCTTCTCTCCTCTTCAGACATTTATTGCAATATTTATCTTCGCACTCTCCGCACTTTATTTTCCAATTAAATAAATTAAAATCTGATCTACATTTTGTACATGGCATTTTGATTTAGCTTTCTTGAAGAAGATATATAATAAAAATTTACTACATACAAATAAATGATATATTTATGCTTACTCTAAACTGATTGAATCTAAAATTTATATTTATATGTCATTCTATTTATCTATAAACATTCTTTGTGTGAATGTTTTTATTATAAAATGTGTTGAGTTTATACATATTTTGTGAAAGAAAATTGTATTAGTAATTGTAATTAGCAAAATGACATGTTTGTCAAAATTGGCAATTTAATAACTGGTCTGATACTGCGCTGCCAGGTGTTTGTGATTAAAAATCACAAATTAAATTTGGCAACATAACTACTGTCAGCTTTGTGAACAACAACCAATGACGTATATATTATACGTCATTGACGACAACTCTATTTGTATTTTTGCTCGATGATGTTACCTGCCATCATCGAGTTAGAATCTAGATCTAACTCGATATACAATACACCTGCGTACTGCATATTTGGTTATCTTTTGGCTCGATGATATTTGGCAATATATCCACTGTCGGCATTGTGACAGAAGACTTTTTATATATTTAGAATATTAGTATATTTAATTTATTCTTCGCCGTTGATAAAATATAAAATGTATTAATCCTATGTTGAAGTATTTAATATTTAAAATGTAAATAAATTTTGCTTTGATTTTTGTCAATACTTTCAAGAGCCAAAAACGCCACTGATCGTGTGTAATTCATTTTAAAATCGAGAAGTATCGATGTGGTATCGATATCAACAGCAACTATTAAGGTCGATTCAGACACATCAGTCCCGTCATAGTCTCGGCGCCGAACCGGTCCTATTTGGTCACAGAACTATCAACTATCTGACAGCTGGGAAACTGTTTGTCAACGTGTTGTCAACTGATGAGTGTGAATGCCGCAATTGTATTTGTATTAAAGAATATTTTATATGACGGATTGTTCGGTTCGGCGCAATCACTGTGACGAGACGTGACTGATGTGTCTGAATCGACCTTAATTTCGTTTGCATTTATTCTTAGTAATTTTAATTTAAATTTGGTTACTTAATTTTTAAAGTTTATTTTGAGTTACCTATTGTACCAAAGAATTTTTGTGTAGTGCTAGTAACAAAACTAAACATGGTGAATTTGTATTGTTCGTTGTGTACAAATCATAGATAAATAATATAATAGTAGAAATAGATAGGCAACTCAATGTATAAATTTCGTTCATTAGGCCCCTTGCGGCTGGGGTCAATACTAATCATCTTTTGGCGGCAAATTCGAATGAACACCCCTTACATACATACCCTTTAGCGCCTCTTGTGGGCTATTTCGTTACTAATTAAAATTTATTGGAATATAAGGATATAAGATGCACAATTTTTTCTAGATATACGTATATTTATTTGTTGTTTAAGATAAAACAGTTATAAAATAATTACATAATATTTATTACACATATTTGCAGAAGTTAAATACTATTATTTTTGGCTTTCTGACAACTTACTATCATTCTTTTTGTAATTTTTCCATGATTTGTACACAACGAACAATACAATAATTCACTATGTTTAGTTTTGTTACTAGCACAACACAAAAATTCTTTGCTACAATAGGTAACTCAAAATAAACTTTTAAAATTAAGTAACCAAATTTAAATTAAAATTACTAAGAATAAATGCAAACGAAAGTTAAAGATAATAAAATAAAATTGAAAACTTGTAAACAAACGGAAGATCTGTCATTAATTTGGATTGACAGAATTGACATTGCTTCGTTTGATTATTTTATTTGGTTTGGGCCATGGCCTGGAATCTTATAATATATGAACGACTTGGTTCATTCCCCCATCACTTTGACCCCAGCGAGTTAATAAAGAGAAATGACAGCCTATCTCTCTCACGAAGACTTTAACCAATCATAAACCAAATAACATAATCAAACGACGCAATGTCAATTCTGTCAATCCAAAGTAATGACAGATCTTCCGTTTGTTTACAAGTTTTCAATTTTATTTTATTATCTTTAACTTTCGTTTGCATTTATTCTTAGTAATTTTAATTTAAATTTGGTTACTTAATTTTTAAAGTTTATTTTGAGTTACCTATTGTACCAAAGAATTTTTGTGTAGTGCTAGTAACAAAACTAAACATGGTGAATTATTGTATTGTTCGTTGTGTACAAATCATGGAAAAATTACAAAAAGGATGATAGTAAGTTGTCAGGAAGCAAAAAATAATAGTATTTAACTTCTGCAAATATGTGTAATAAATATTATGTAATTATTTTATAACTGTTTTATCTTAAACAACAAATAAATATACGTATATCTAGAAAAATTTTGCATCTTTTATTTTATATATCTTATTTTCCAATAAATTTTAATAAGTAACGAAATAGCCCACAAGAGGCGCTAAAGAGTATGTATGTGAGGGTGTTCATTCGAATTTGCCGCCAAAAGATGATTAGTATTGACCCCAGCCGCAAGGGGCCTAATGAACGAAATTTATACATTGAGTTGCCTATCTATTTCTACTATTATATTATTTATCTATGATTCCAGGCCATGTGTACAAATCATGGAAAAATGACAAAAAGGATGATAGTAAGTTGTCAGGAAGCAAAAAATAATAGTATTTAACTTCTGCAAATATGTGTAATAAATATTATGTAATTATTTTATAACTGTTTTATCTTAAACAACAAATAAATATACGTATCTAGAAAAATTGTGCATCTTTTATATATCTTATTTTCCAATAAATTTTAATTAGTATCGAAATAGCCCACAAGAGGCGCTAAAGGGTATGTATGTGAGGGGTGTTCATTCGAATTTGCCGCCAAAAGATGATTAGTATTGACCCCAGCCGCAAGGGGCCTAATGAACGAAATTTATACATTGAGTTGCCTATCTATTTCTACTATTATATTATTTATCTATGCCCAAAACTTAGAATTACACCAAGTTTTTGCAGTAGGATAGATCCAATAACGTATAATAAATAGGCCCCGCGTCTCGCAGCCTTCTATACTTGGTAAATAATCGGGTCTGGGTGTCCTAAAGACCTGCTTGAAGGTATCACCAAAGAATATAGACGCTTATTCTATATTCTTTGGTATCACCAAAGAATTTAGGGCTATTATTATAGGGGCATTATCAATCTTTGGTTTCATTGTCAAGAGAAAATCTAGAAAAATTATATTTTAATGATTTTAATAACAAAAAACAAAGTTTTAATTGAAATTATTAAATATGCAATATAATGTATAATCATTTATTTATTAAATAAACAAAACACCTTCACTGACCATTAAAACATAATCTGATGTTTTTAAAATAGCATGCATTTCAAAAATGACTTACCTGAAAAGTAATGTTTAGCTTTTTGAACGTCTGCGATCACAAACAAGAATGTGATCTAAACTTAAATGGCAGTTTACTAAAATATTAAGTAAATAATCTCCAAAAATTTAAAATAAAATTTACTTGTGGGTTTTTTGGGGACGTGGAACACTAATATTATGTCGGCGATGTTCTTTGAGGCACCTTGTGCTCTCGACAGACCTTTTCTTCTTTAGTTTTATGGAAATTTGACACAAAATCACAGCGATCTCAAAATCCACCGAGTAACGAGTTTGCACTGATTTTGTATCGAATTCGCAAAAAACTCTAGGAGACGAAGCCCGTTCTGGGCACCAGGTGCTTCGCACATCATCAGCGACACGATATTAGTGTTTAGCGACCCCAAAAATCTCTGATGATTCAATACAATATGAGTTTGCACTGATTTTGTATCGAATTTCCAAAAAATTCCTGTAGATAAGGCCCAGGTATTCATGTTCAGTGATACTGAAAATCCTCGAGTAATATAATGAACTCGTTTCCGTCAATTATTTTATATCACGTTGAAATGCACTTTGGAAAATGCATTTTCCTTGCTCAATACTGCAATTTTTGTTTAAATAATTTCCTGACACTCATACGAATCGAATGCAAAAAAGTTTCATTGAGAAATTCGGTAGGTTTATTGCTTTATTGTCTCGCCTAAATAAGGAATCGAGACCTGCAGATGCAAAGAATGATCAAATTCTATATTCGATCAATTTTACTACCTGATACCCAGACCTGGAATCTGAAAGTTGATACCATCAGTCGTGTGAGATCTGTTTGCATCGAAGAATGAGTGAAATGCCCTGGACAACCATGCTTAACAACTCACCAACGAAGCTTTATTAAATAGAGTAAATGCCACCGTCTCATCAACTGTACATTTAGAGGTTCTTCTCCTTCATTTTGCACAAATAACGCTTTTTATATTATTTTGTATTGTCTTTAATACATTTGAGGTGTTGAATTTTATTTCTAGTATTAAAAGTAAGTTTGTTTAAAAATGTATTAAATAAAAGTCCATTTTATTCGTAAACTTTACTACAAAAATATACAGAATGCAAAAAAGCGAGCAGTAGGCAAGTTAATATATTTAAACTCCATTACTTTCATAACTTCTAAATAGCTATAAATATAACTAAATTTTCGCTATTTTAAATATATTGTTGTTTAAACATTTTGGGTGTTGTTTTTGTGTGATTGTTCTTTTCTGTGTGTTGTGATCATTCCATACATTCGATAATTTTAGTATGGTACCTAGTATTTATATTAGATTTGGCTGTTTTGTTTCCAAATTAAAAGGATTTCTGCATCTTTTACTGCACAAGAAGATGTTATGCAATAATTTTAATTTACATTATGTTTTTGTTTTACTATATTTATATAAGTACAAAACTTTCACTATTTGAACAAAATAACAGATACACCTTATAATAAAATATGTAAATGAAACAAAGGAAGACCATCATTACTATCTAACGAGTACAGTTATTAAAACGGAAGTAGCATACAATGAAGAATTCTATTAGTCTTCCTTTTTGGACTAACTCTTGTTTGATCAACTAGTGTGTAGATTCATCTCGAAGATGATTTCATCTTTGGGATAAATCTACATACGGATTGTCAAATGAAAA